ACAACCTATTCCCCAAGTGCATTCCATTTTTCCACTACTCTCACGCTAAAAGAAAACTTCCTAACATCTCTGTGACTCATCTGAGTTTCCAACTTCCACCCATGTCCCCTCGTTCTGTTACTATTCCGTGTGAACATTTCGTCTATTTCCACTCTGTCCCTTGAGTATTTTATACGTTGTTATCATATCCTTCCTCTCCCTTCTTTTTTCTAGTGTCGTAAGGCACAGTTCCTTCAGGCGCTCCTCATACCCCATCCCTCGCAACTCTGGGACGAGTCTCGTTGCAAACTTCTGAACATTTTCCAGTTTCCTTATGTGTTTCTTCAGGTGGGGACTCCATGATGGCGCGGCATACTCAAAGACTGGCCTCACGTAGGCAGTGTAAAGCGCCCTAAATGCCTCCTCACTTAGGTTTCTGAATGATGTTCTAACTTTTGCCAGTGTAGAGTACGCTGCTGTCGTTATCCTATTTATATGTGCCTCAGGAGTTAGATTAGGTGTTACGTCCACTCCCAGGTCTCTTTCTCGCGTCGTCACAGGTAGGCAGTTTTCCATCATTGTGTACTGTCCCCTTGGTCTCTTATCACCTAATCCCATTTCCATAACTTTACACTTGCTCGTGTTGAACTCCAGTAGCCATTTCTCTGACCATTTCTACAACCTGTTCAGGTCTTCTTGGAGGATCCTGCAATCCTTATCTGTCACAACTTTTCTCATTAACTTTGCGTCATCCGCGAACATCGACATGTAGGACTCTACTCCTACCTTGAGGCTACCTTGAGGTGCTTCCGGGGCTTAGTGTCCCCGCGGCCCGGTCGTCGACCAGGCCTCCTGGTTGCTGGACTGATCAACCAGGCTGTTAGACGCGGCTGCTCGCAGCCTGACGTATGAGTCACAGCCTGGTTGATCAGGTATCCTCCTGTAAATATGTCGTTAACATATATTAGAAATAGAATTGATCCTAGCACCGTGTGTGTGAAGATGAAGATTAGACCACCACAAGAGATGGCACGGGCATGAATAGCCCGTAAAATGAATTTGACGACTGAGCGCCGATCAGAAGAACGCTCCTGAACTGACTTTCAGGTCTGCAGGCACAGCAGAGCGAGTACAAATAGCTACAGAAGCACAGTGATGCAACAGGAAGATAGTCAACATTGACAAATGAGTCCCATAGGTTCAGTAGCATCAAATATTACCTAACGAGCCTAATATAATTCAGCGAGAGAGCCACGTGGATCAGACAGTATGGAAAAGAATAAAAGTCATTCTGCATACACACAGAAATCACAATAGCGTGATGCATCATGTGAACAAATCCACAATGAGGGAACGTAAGTTCGAACCCTCATCACGGCCTTTGTGGATTTGTTCATTCTGCATGACTATGAACTGACAGAAATTGTATAACGCAGCGAACTGAGGACCAAAGGACAATGTGGAGTAATAGACCGGAGGGAGATAGGATGGAACGCCAGTGAATACTTTCCTGTGCTACACAACCCCCTACACCCTCACCATCCTACACCCCCCACCATCCTACACCCCCACCATCCTACACCCCCACCATCCTACACCCTCACCATCCTACACCCCCACCATCCTACACCCCCAGCATCCTACACCCCTGCCATCCAACACCCCCACCATCCTACACCTCCCCTTCCTACACCTCCCCTTCCTACACCCCCACCATCCTACACCCCCCACCATCCTTCACCTCCACCTTCCTACACTCCCACCATCCTACACCCCCACCATCCTACACCCCCACCATCCTACACCTCCACCTTCCTACACTCCCACCATCCAACACCCTAACCATCCTACACCCCCACCATTCTACACCCTCACTATCCTACACCCCTACCATCCTACACCCCCACCATCCTACACCCCCACCATCCTACACCCCCACCATTCTACACCCCCACCATCCTACACCCCCACCATTCAACACCCCCACCATCCTACACCCCCACCATCCTACACCCCCACCATCCTGCACCCCCACCATCCAACACCCCCACCATCCTACACCCCCACCATCCAACACCCCTACCATCCTACACCTCCACCATCCTACACCCCCACCATCCTACACCCCCACCATCCTACACCCCCACCATCCTACACCCCCCATCCAACACCCCCACCATCCTACACTCTCACCATCCTACACCCCCACCGTCCAACACTCCCACCATCCTACAAACCCACCATCCTACACCCCCACCATCCTACACCTCCACCATCCAACACCCCCACCATCCTACACCCCCACCATCCTACACCCCCACCATCCAACACCCCCACCATCCTACACCCCCACCATCCAACACCCCCACCATCCTACACCCCCACCATCCTACACCCCCACCATCCTACACCCCCACTATCCTACACCCCCACCATCCTACACCCCCACCATCCAACACCCCCCCACCATCCTACACCCCACCATCCAACACCCCCACCATCCAACACCCCCCCCATCCAACCTACACCCCACCATCCTACACCCCCACCATCCAACACCCCCACCATCCAACACCCCCACCATCCAACACCCCCACCATCCAACACCCCCACCATCCTACACCCCCACCATCCTACACCCCCACCATCCTACACCCCCACCATCCTCCACCCCCACCATCTTACACCCCCACCATCCTACACCCCCACCATCCTACACCCCCACCATCCTACACCCCCCATCCAACACCCCCACCATCCTACACCCCCACCATCCTACACCCCCACCATCCTACACCCCCACCGTCCAACACTCCCACCATCCTACACCCCCACCATCCTATACCCCCACCATCCTACACCCCCACCATCCTACACCCCCACATCCAACACCCCCACCATCCTACACCCTTACCATCCAACACCCCCACCATCCTACACCCCCACCATCCTACACCCCCACCATCCTACACCCCCACCGTCCTACACTCCCACCATCCTACACCCCCACCATCCTACACCCCCACCATCCTACACCCCCACCATCCTACACCCCCACCATCCTACCCCCCCACCATCTTACACCCCCACCATCCTACACCCCCACCATCCTACACCCCCACCATCCTACACCCCCCATCCAACACCCCCACCATCCTACACCCCCACCATCCTACACCCCCACCATCCTACACCCCCACCATCCTACACTCCCACCATCCTACACCCCCACCATCCTACACCCCCACCATCCTACACCCCCACCATCCTACACCCCCACCATCCAACACCCCCACCATCCTACACCCCCCACCGTCCAACACTCCCACCATCCTACACCCCCACCATCCTACACCCACACCATCCTACACCCCCACCATCCTACACCCCCACCATCCTACACCCCCACCATCCTACACCCCCACCATCCTACACCCCCACCATCCTACACCCCCACCATCCTACACCCCCACCATCCTACACCCCCACCATCCTACACCCCCACCACCAGATAATGCGAGGCTGAACAAAAACAGGAGACATCACACCTCACCATATAAGAGAGGACCAAACCATTAGTCTTCAGATGATTGTATTAAACTATCTACCACGCTAACTGCCCGGTACAATTAACGAGGCAATCTCTACCATCAGGGAGTCTTGTTAAAATATCAGGCTCGGCCCAGGACGCCGGGAGTCACCGCCCAGCTGCCCTTAGACCCGCCCCTTCACCACCCAGCTGCCCTTAGACCCGCCCCTTCACCACCCAGCTGCCCTTAGACCCGCCCCTTCACCACCCAGCTGCTCTTAGACCCGCCCCTTCACCACCCAGCTGCCCTTAGACCCGCTCCTTCACCACCCAGCTGCCCTTAGACCCGCCCCTTCACCACCCAGCTGCCCTTAGACCCGCCCCTTCACCACCCAGCTGCCCTTAGACCCTCCCCTTCACCACCCAGCTGCCCTTAGACCCTCCCCTTCACCACCCAGCTGCCCTTAGACCCGCCCCTTCACCACCCAGCTGCCCTTAGACCCTCCCCTTCACCACCCAGCTGCCCTTAGACCCTCCCCTTCAACACCCAGCTGCCCTTAGAATCGTCCCTTCACCACCCAGCTGCCCTTAGACCCGCCCCTTCACCACCCAGCTGCCCTTAGACCCGCCCCTTCACCACCCAGCTGCCCTTAGACCCGCCCCTTCACCACCCAGCTGCCCTTAGACCCGCCCCTTCACCACCCAGCTGCCCTTAGAATCGTTCCTTCACCACCCAGCTGCCCTTAGACCCGCCCCTTCACCACCCAGCTGCCCTTAGTCCCGCCCCTTCACTACCCAGCTGCCCTTAGACCCGTCCCTTCACCACCCAGCTGCCCTTAGTCACGTCCCTTCACCACCCAGCTGCCCTTAGACCCGCCCCTATCGTGGTGTGAGGGGTTGGTACCACGATAGCAACTCCTCACACCACGATAGCAACCCCTCACACCACGATAGCAACCCCTCACACCACGATAGCTGCCCCTCACACCAAGATAGCAACCCCTCACACCACGATAGCTGTCCCTCACACCACGATAGCAGCCCCCGTGGGCCTCCTGCGCGTCCCTCAATACAGTTCTCGACATCACAGAATCAGCATTTCTGTATCTGGCCACTTGGGGACACTTCACCCTTGCTATTCGGCCCCCTCCAAGCGTCACATCTGGCCCCGGGGCCGCAGTAAGGCCGTCAGTCGCCCTTGTTAGCAGCGACACCCTCGATTTATGAGGATAGCGATGAAAATAGAGACCAATTATGGCTATTATGAAGCTGACAGTGGTGTGTGCGTAGCCTACCCGCCATCATCTAACCCACTGTAATCTGCCTGTCGGCCGGGCTGGTAACACTATCTGCTGAGGGGCGGGGCTTATCCCCCTCTCACAGTGGATTGGCTGGCCCGGCTAGCCGACTCCGCCCATTTTGGCGGGGGAGTTGGTGATTGGTTAGCGTCGCGCGGCGGCCGGCCAGCGGGGCGGGGCCTAAGCTGCGCAGTGACGTCATCAGTGATTGGTGGGTGGGAACGGTAATTTGTAGAGTGATCGCGGGCGTTGAGGATGTGTTAGTGGCGGTGATAACAACTCCCAGGGGACGATGGCACGGCGTAGTTGGCTCCGCTAGTGACACTATCCCCCCCGTGCACCTCGCGGACACTCGCTACACACACCTTCCGACCTCAATCATGTATTCCGCGCGCAAGTGTTGCTAATTACAAGGTCCGTACCCGACTCCGGAATAATTCGGAAGTGCGCGTCCGTACCGACAATCGGCGTCGAGCGAGCCTTGGACCCCGACCGGCCCCATGGCCAACCCACGCGGCGGCGACTTGTAAAACTTCCCCTTAAAATAAAACTCGTGGTTTAACCTCGAGTTGTTTTAACGAGAGGGTAATTACAGCACAACAGTGTCATTAGCGGGCAATTACCCGAGCAGTGCGGTTAACGAGGGCGCCATGTGCGACACCTCAGAGACTATGGACACCCGCTCCGAGCCCTCACAGGGCACCGACGCCGACGGAGACGACGACATCTCCGTCGGCAGCCACTCTCCGCCGCCTCGGAACGACACAGACGACTCCATGATCGACGTAGACGACACCGTCGACGACGACAGCAGAGAGAAGGTGACAGCCAGCCCCAAAGTCGAGCCCCCGGACCCTGCCATGAGCCCGGGGCCCCCACGCACCCCTCCAGTGGCTCATCAGGCTAACAACGCTGTAATTCACCGCTCTCTCAAGTTCTCAATCGACAATATCCTCAAGCCGGATTTCGGCCGCCGGCTGGGCGACGCCGTAGAGACTAGCGATCAACCCGTCGATCTGTCGCGAGTTACCAACAGAGGGGACCCGAAGAAGGTCTTCGGAGACCCCGCCAGGAGCCTCGGAGAGGTCGGCCAGGCCCCTAACAGCGTGCTACTGAAGGATCGAGAGGGCGGAGGCGGCACACTATGGCCCGCTTGGGTTTACTGCACCCGTTACTCCGACCGGCCCTCTGCAGGTAAGCCCTTCATTCCCCTATTTAGAGTGCCACTTTGTACCCATTTCTTGGGTTTACGGGCTCACCATAGCCCGTGCTACATGGACATTTCGATCCCTGTAGTAATCTAAAAACAACATACCCATTTGTCCCTGCAAAGGCCACCCTGGCATCGCATGACGTGCCCCAAGAAGCACGTGGCACTGTTCGACAGGTTCCAGTGCCGCTCTAACAAGCTCGTTAGAGATCCATTCAAAAAAAATGTCTCGATTGGTGATTGTGAATGACATTCCCAACTGCCCCGTTTGGCTCCCAAGTCAGATTTAAGTGGGATAGGAACCCCGCGACGCTCTATGGCACTGTGGCAGTGGCGAAACATGGCACTACTCAGCGAAACATGACATTGGTGACATGACTCTGGGTGCCACGCGGCCCTCAAGTGTTGCGTCACGCGCTCCGGTGACAAGTGGCACTCCATGTTGACGCTAAGTTATCTAACGGCGAAGTGAAACGATCTTCAGTGACGTGTGGCACTCTCCTGTTACGTGTGGCACTTTCCCTGTCACGTGTGGCACTTTTCTGTCACGTGTGGCACTTTTCCGTCACGTGTGGCACTTTCCCTGTCACATGTGGCACTTTAATAACGCGAGGAAACCATTGGCATCCCTTGGTAAAAATTTTCATTGATACAAAATCAGTATATATATATATATATATATATATATATATATATATATATATATATATATATATATATATATTTAAATTATACAAATTTGACAAATCACGAATTTTCTCTGAATGCTCAATATACAAGGGGACGCCCTGTATATAAGACAGTATACACAGGGCGCCCTGTGTATAAAAAGTATATATATATACTACCCTTAGAAGGTATTTACACTTTCCATAAAATATATATACACTAACCATATAAGGTATATACACTTAAGACAGAAGGTTTATACACTAACTTTGCCGCAAAGATTAACGTAGGTTCTTGATTAAGTCATTATAACATCTTGTGACGAGCTTCAGTTCTTGTCCTCCTTAGATCTTTCATTCCCTTAACATGGACTCTATGAGGCTCGAACCCAGGACCAAAAGTGTGTGAGACAGAAGCTCCTCAGATCTTCCTCAGAAACAATAATTTGCCTTTTTTTTTTGGGGGGGGGGGGTGTTATCTTCTTGAGATGATTTCGGGGCTTTAGTGTCCCCGCAGCCCGGTCCTCGACCAGGCCTCCACCCCCAGGAAGTAGCCTGTGACAGCTGATTTACTCCCAGGTACCTATTTACTGCTAGGTAACAGGGGCATCAGGGTGAAAGAAACTCTGCCTATTGTTTCTCGTTGGCGCCCGGGATAGAACCCGGGACCACAGGATCACGCGTCCAGTGTTCTGTCCGCTCAGCCACCGGCTCCACCGAGAGGGGGGGGGGCACTGGATCATAGGTATGTGTATGTGTCGTATTGGCACACCGTGGCACTATAGCAACGTGGCACTCGTGTCTTTCCCACTATGGCAGCGTGGCACTCTTGTCACTTCGACCATGGCAGCGTGGCACTCTTGTCACTTCCACCATGGCAGCGTGGCACTCTCGTCACTCCCACTATGGCAGCGTGGCACTCTTGTCACTTCCACCATGGCAGCGTGGCACTCTCGTCACTCCCACTATGGCACCGTGGCACTCTTTCCCTAAACCTTTACAAACAGACCAATAGAAGCAAATATTAGTTTTATCTCTATAAACCACACAATAAAAATACATTAATAATAATAATAATAATAATAATAATAATAATAATAATAATAATGGAACATACAAAGGAGCAATCGGTCAAAGCGAATTATCAGTTTAAAGAATTGTTAAACAAATCATTACAAGTGAAGATCCGCAAGAATCCGGATGCTTGGCAAGAATCCGGATACTCCCGATGTCTTGCCCGAACGTACACAAATATTCTCCAATCATGCAGTACGCACAAACACACACACTGCATAAACGCACACACGAACGCACACACTACATACACACAAACAAATTTCAGGAATACACGCGAACGCACATATAACATACACACAAGTACGCAACACACGCAACATACGCACATTCAAACCACATTCAAACCAGCCTTGCAAAAAGAAGTATGCACCTTTGTCATCGCTAGAATCTGATATCGCTGGAGATAATTTTAGGATATCGCAAGAGGAAGCAACACAATCACATGAGATCATTAATTGCTCCTGAATATCGCAAAAAATTGGAGCAAAACCTTTCAAATAACCATTGATGTCGCCTAGGAATAAGCTTGCTCCCATGTGGCAAATAATATACTCCAAATTATGATATATAAAAGAATATAATTAACACAAAAATTGAATGATAAATCAACAGTAAACATTATATAAGCGATATTTCTGACCAACTAATCCAAATACCGCTAAAATATCGCAAAGACCCTGAAACAACATTGCTAACACACACACACACACACACACACACACACACACACACACACACACACACACACACACACACACACACACACACACACACATTCTGGACCTACAGCGGACGTTGTGAGATTCTAAATTCGGAGCTGATGGACAGAATGTGTAGCTGCCCATTAGCCTGTCTGTTCCTGACTGTGGGATGGAATCGTGGAAAAGAGCCGTGGGAGGAAGGAACGGAGACGAACGGAGGAATGAAGTAATCAAGAGAGGGACAACAGAATGGATAGGTGGAGTAACTGAGAAACGGAGAGAGAGAGAGAGAGAGAGAGAGAGAGAGAGAGAGAGAGAGAGAGAGAGAGAGAGAGAGAGAGAGAGAGAGAGAGAGAGAGAGAGTTAAATAAATATATCGTATATCTCAAATGCTTAACTCATATATATTGAAATACAAGTTGTCTCAATTTCACTATGCATCGCGCCCTTTAAATATTTAGGTTTAACCAAACACCTCTATTTTAGACCCAATATCTTCTACCCCAGAAGTCTTCTAACCTCACAAAACTCTCGCCAGAGTTCTCAAGCTCACGAACTTGAAACAGTTTCTTCCACAGCCACAAGACGGATATTGTAACTCAAGACGGTCAGCCACTATCTATAATTCAAGCAATCAGCCACTATCTCCGGTTTTGTCTACCACGAATATCTCACTATCAAATAATTGGTAATTATCAAAATAAGGTGCCAGGCCGGGAAGTAAATTCAACAAATAAGGAATAAGTAACCTGGCATTTCTCATCTAACTCACATTTGAAATAGGATTTCATAATTTACTTTCAAGATATCTTGATGTGAACTTAGCATAACATTTAAGTATGCACGTATTAATCTTCAGCATAATAAAGTATACACTTAAGCCACACTACAATAAAGCAATTAATAATGAAACTTTACAACTTATAAAAGTTTAAAAGCTTCTAAAATATATAGAACATTCTCTTCTCTCTTATTTCTATTGATTTCTATGCATTAAGTATATATAAAAAATGGAGATAATAAGATATGAGAGAAGGAAGAATATATAGCGACAATCAAGAGATATATTTATAATAAGATAATTTCTACATTATCAAAAGATAATATAAAAAATATAGTGACAATTAAAAGATATAATAATAATCAGAAGAGAGTAACAGAAACAGATATTGACAGACAGAGACGAAGACTGATTGCCATTGACAAGCAGATCAACAGAGATAATGACAGACAGAGGCAAAGAAACTGATTGATACAAAGACAGGCAATTACTGAGAAACAGAGGTAAAGACAAAAGCACACACACACACTGAACATGTGTGTGTGTGTGTGTGTGTGTGTGTGTGTGTGTGTGTGTGTGTGTGTGTGTGTGTGTGTGTGTGTGTGTGTGTGTGTGTGTGTGTGTGTGTGTCAGGGACTCGAGGTGGATTACTGGATCAGTGGATTAGTTGACGGATCAGTTTGCGTCAAGACGGATGAGTATTTTTTACTGAATGGGTCAGCCAACGGCTGGATTGTGCTGTGGATGTCAAGGTGGCAGATGGATGAATGATTAGATGATTCGCAGAGTAGCTATAAGCCGCTGAGTAGATGCCCAAATGGCTGACTTATTGATTAGCTGACTAATTGACTAACCACACTAACAAAGCTAACCACAATAACCGCTGGCTTGCCAACGTCTCCAGAGATTGGATACATGTTCAGTAGGTCACATATCACGACATTATGACTAAATTCAGAAAAACATACAGTCGAATAATTCACCTTACAATGGCAGAAAATTATCCACATATCCATGTCGACTTTGGCTATGTGACTTTTGGTCTGGGTTTTATGGTTAAATGCGACAGTAACGGGGGATTAGTTCAGAGGATTACACCAGTGGAACGCATCAGTGGAATTAATGGATTTATGTAAGGAATATGTTTTGTTTGAACGGCAAATATGCGACTTCAGCCGCCTTAGGTTCAAATCGTTCTCATTCTTGGGTAATGGATTACTGGCCAGCAGGATTCCTGGCCAGCAGGATTTACGACACAGGAACTGAAAATGAAGATTTTTGGCCCCCGCTAAAAGTTTTGGTCATTCTGTTGTTCTAAAAATATTTTACTGAACTGTGTGTGTGTGTGTGTGTGTGTGTGTGTGTGTGTGTGTGTGTGTGTGTGTGTGTGTGTGTGTGTGTGTGTGTGTGTGTTAATTGCTTCACTACCTCATCAATGTTGATGGAGGTGGCTTCTTCAACTTCTCTACTGCAATCTGTTAGTTAACTACCCACACACAGGGCACAAATGTTTCCTACCTATGTCCTCTTGTTTATTCCCATCGATATTTTGTATGTATTGATCATGTTCCCTCTATACCTTCTCTAGGGTTCGTGAGATTGTGTTCCGATAACCCAAATTTCCACCATATTTACATAGCACCATTACCACCACAACCACCTAATCCACCACCATCACCACCATCCTACATCCCCTACCCAGCTAATCAGCCCATCGGAGAACACACCTACCAACGCTTCTCCCATGACAATAACTATCTGCGGGCTCACCATAGCCCGTGCTACTTGGAACTTTGTTCCAGGTAGCGAATCTTTAACAACAACATTATCCCATGAATATCACTGAGCAAAAATCAATTGAAAAATCATGAGAATTATTAGAAGCATCGTGTTTAGCCCTCACTCTCAGCGTTTAAGAACGGGGGAATTTTTTCTTGGGTATTAAAAACATGTTTGGAGCCACCAAATAGGCGTTACCTGGACCTGGTCCCTTGTGATATGTATATATAATTGTATATATATAATCTCTCTATAATTGAATGTGTATAAATGTGGAGTCTGGCTGGTGAAGAGAGAGAGGAATAGAAGAAAGGGAAAGACAGTAGGAATGACGGTATGTGGGAGAGAAGGAGGGATAGGGAATGTGGGAGGGAGGAATGTGGGAGGGAAGGTTAACGGCCACAGTAAAAGACTACAAATCCCTCGATAACTTTGATAGGGAGTAATCATCGATGCTATTTTGTTCTTCACAGAAGAGCGCCGGCCGCGGCTGAACTTGGCAACCACTCGTCTCTATATCTCTTATAATGACTCATATCTCTCATAGTGACTTATATCTCTCATAATGACTCCTATATCTCTTATAATGACTCTTATATCTCTCATAATGACTCCTATATCTCTTATAATGACTCTTATATCTCTCATAATGACTCTTATATCTCTCATAATGACTCCTATATCTCTCATAATGACTCTTATATCTCTCATAATGACCCCTATATCTCTTATAATGACTCTTATATCTCTCATAATGACTCTTATATCTCTCATAATGACTCTTATATCTCTCATAATGACTCTTATATCTCTCATAATGACTCTTATATCTCTTATAATGACTCTTATATCTCTCATAATGACTCTTATATCTCTTATAATGACTCTTATATCTCTCATAATGACTCTTATATCTCTCATAATGACCCCTATATATATACATATATATATAGGGGTCATAGTGATCACCTCTATATAGTGATAAAATCAAATGGAGCCATGCAGAGGAGTCGAACCTGCACCATGGGTTCACTATACTAAAACACACGCCTTCAACCGTTGAACCTGGATATGCTATAAGTAATGTATCCTGGGATTCCACTGAATCCACTAGGAGTCCTGAAGCCTCGACCAAGTCAAGGCTTCCCCTTCACATATATATATATATATATATATATATATATATATATATATATATATATATATATATATATATATATATATATATATATATATATATATATATACATATATATATATACTCTAGATGGTCTAGTTGGTATGGTACTGGACACGCTAAGGTGCATGGAGACCTGGCTGTCTGGGTTCGAATCCTTCACATATACTCTGGACGTCATCCCCTCTCAAACGCTCACTTCACATGCACAAAAGAAATTACATTAACGTATCAATTCGAAAAAAAAACAACTGAGAGCCAGTGGTCCAAGGCGGGTGCTTGGAAGTAATCATGTTGTGGGTTCGAATCCCACTCCGTCATGGCTCCAGTTCATTTTCGTATTGATACGTCACGGTAATGGGATTTCTTTGTGCATTTGAAGGAAGTTTAGTGATAATATTGATAACAGTATTCATAAATACGATGGTCAACAGACTGATGAAGGTAATTTTGTTGTCAGCCGTTCCTTAGCAGTCCCAGGTACTCTCTCTCTCTCACCTCTCTCAGCTACTCTCTCTCACCTCTCTCAGCTACTAACCCTCACCTCTCCCCTCCCTCACCTCTCCCCCCAGTTCAGCCCCCCAGAACTAGCGTACATTTGGCGATCTGACTTTAGCAGTGCTTATTGAATTTCGCGATTCAACGTGCTTAACGAGCTTCTCTGAACGACTTTTGAGATTTAATGCACGAAGCTGGTATGGTGGCGAGAGCCGAACGTGATTGCCCAGTCACTGGTACGATGTTCAGTTGGCCTAGCTTCTGTGATTGGTATTGTCTTTATCGCTGATTGGGGCTATTCTGAATATGTCTATTGGTCTAGTTCTATTGGTCACTTCCGTGTCTATACTGGCTAGTTCTGTTGGCTATTTCTATGTCTATCGTGGCTAGTTCTATTGGCTACTTCCGTCTCTATACTGGCTAGTTCTATTGGCTATTTCTATGTCTATCGTGGGCTAGTTCTATTGATCACTAACGTGATTTCATTGTTTGTAGCGTTTAGTGAAAAACTGTTGCATTAAACCGTCTTTTGTTATAGGTAATATTGGTCAATAATATTGCAACTGTTAATATTTTTTGTTTTATTATATATGTCCTGATTTTAATATTACTATTGGAGGGACACTAATTGTTGTGGTCAGTTCTGGTGATCATTATTCACGGAAGGTTATTAATTTTTGAAGCATCATACATAATTTTTTGCATTAAATTTCGAAATCCTTTTCATGTAGGTGTAGGATTTAGCAAGTAGGATTTATTATAATCCTACAAGCCGCTTCACTCTTATGATCAATTTATTTAAAAACGGGTCAAATATGATACAACTGCATTATTAATTATATTTGCAATTTGCAATTTTATTGATTCATTTATTGCTAAAATCACTCGCCTAGTTCTGTCTTCTACCGGTTGAAGGATTGAACATTGCAAATGCTTTGGAGTGAATCATTAATTGAACATATTCATTGTTCAGCTTCATTCTTCATAGATCAAGTGTCTCGGTTCATCCTCATTGGTTAAATGATTGCCTAATCCGACAGTCACTACACCAGTCATTGGTCAAATGATTGCCTAATCAAACACTCGCCCAACTGTTTATGAATGAAGAACGTTTTACACATCACCCACAACTGAACATATTCGATCTTTTACAGAAGTGTGTTAACCAGACCACACACTAGAAGGTGAAGGGACGACGACGTTTCGGTCCGTCCTGGACCATTCTCAAGTCGATTGTGAGAATGATCTGAATGATCTTTACAGAAGTGTTTCGTTCACGTTATATGTTCGAAGCCTTGTAGAGGCTTCACCCGCGATGTGTAAATGCAGCCCGTCCTCCAAACAAAGATCCAAAAGTGATTCCATGCACCCGCCAAACCCGCTGTTTATGAATGAAAAGCGGTTTACACACGACTCACAACTGCTGACGTTCGAACATATCCGGAACAAGTGCTTCACTGACGAATTTTGTTCGAATCGCAACGCTATAAATGCTTCACCCACGTACTACAAATACAAATAATCGCCAACAGAACCTAAACACCTAACCTAACCTATCCTATGCCTATATATACACAATATGCTAATATATTATAATATTAATTTATACTTGAGAAAATTCCCGTTTTGAATGAACAGCATGTTAAAATTTATGAATGCGTCTGTGGGGTCGACCGCTGAATGTAATGGACTTGAGTCGAGGACGGGTTGGTAAATGCAACAGAATCACAACACCTGACCTACCCTAGACTTATCTACACAAATATATAAGATATAACAATGTTAATTTTATACTACACACAAAGAAGAAGTTACCAACTTGTCTTAGGAAACAATCATAGTTTGAATGAACACAACCTAAGGACTGGTTGAGATATGACGTTCCCAGCAGTTAATATGATAGGTTGACCAGACCACACACTAGAAGGTGAAGGGACGACGACGTTTCGGTCCGTCCTGGACCATTCTCAAGTCGATTGTGAGAATGCCGATTGTGATCATTCTCAATCGACTT